TGTGGCATCATTACTGAAATACATAAGTATTGATTATATCAAAGAAGAAGAATATAACTCCAAAAGGTGACATAGCAATAGAAGAGAATGTGCTTAACCACGTCAATAAATTCAAGTATTTGGGAATACTCATAACATCAGATGGACAATGAGTGACATAAATTAGGAGCTGAAGTGGCCAGGCAATGGTAGAATTTCAGAAGATGAAAAGTATCTTATGTAATAAATCATTTTAAGCATTAGAAAACAAGTACTAAAATGTTATATCCGCCTGTTATGTTGTATGGCAGTGAATCTTGGAATATGGGCAAACAAAGTAAGAAAAGTTTGGAGGCAACTGAGATGTGGTTCTTGAGAAGAATGTTGTGAATACCTTGGACTGCTAGAATAACTAAGAATAAATGCCTGGTAATGGCTAATGAAAGTAGAACCTTATATACAACAATGAAAAGGAAACAAAGCTCTTTGGTCATGTCACGACTGGAAGGATCTTTGGTAGAAGAGGCAGAGGCAGACCAAGAAAAATGATGGTGGATGGCTTGAGACAGTGGCATGGAGAAACATCCTCAGTGGAATTGATGCAGAACACTAAAGACCCAGATCTGTGGAGATGCATGAACCCCTACGCCAGCTGGCAAGGCACTTGATGATGATGACAGGTGATTTACCACTGACTGCTGAATGATCAGGATTTCTTCTTTCTGAGTCCTGTACTGCCTTTCAGCATCAGGTTTTGAAGAGGCCTCAGGTTTGAGCCTCGGTATGTGTTATGTCCATGCTGGTATTTGCGGCCCCCTGATATTCTTTACTATCAAAATTTAAAAACATATAAGCAACATACATCTATGAAACAAATAAAGCACACTGCAGGACGGATTTATAAATTGCTTATGTTCCCATTTATACACTTGAATATCAACTTTATACATAATGCAATCACCTCATTCATAATTAATGCAAGAAAGAAAAAAATACTGCATCAACATTTACAATAAAGTATTAACAAGTAGCAATAGAAACATAATGTATATAATCTACACCTGGCTCTTCCTGTCACAAAAAATGTGCCATCTGTGCTCAACACAACCAATGATGTGTTGTTATTTATTTCATGTTTGGTCTAGTGTGCCAAAGAAATCTGACCATATATTTTAAATGCAGCACAGTATATATTGTGTCTTTGAAAGTCATACACTGATGTCTTTTTCAATGTGATTATTGTCTCATATTGGGTTTCTACTTTGAACTGGAACTGAAAGAGCCAGGACAAATACTAAAGCTTTTAAGCTGTAGAACGTCTTCTTCTTTGTTCACCGTTTGTAAACTTCAAAAGAAAATCCTGGTTGTTCGTCCATTTGGGCTTTGGCTTTGTGCCAGGGCCTGAGTTTTGCAGGTACATCCGTTTTACTGGCTTATTAGTGTGCTGTTGGTTGTTCCTTGCCGCTTGTGCAGACGCACTCCAACTTCGAAGGAAGTCCCAAGCTAGTCGACTTCTAGGAGGAGCATGTTGGAGAGGCAGTGGATCTGTTCTTGTTATACCATCAATAGCGCCCAGAAACAAACACAGGAATGCCACAGAGCAAGTGTGGACGTTTTTTCTTCTGCCAAAGACTGTTAAGATATTTAGAATATTAAAAATAACAAGCAACGTTTTAAAGCAGCTATAAGAACAGTGGAAATTGCCCCTCGGAAAGCAAAGTTTTCTTAGTTGTGTCCAAAAGCCGAAAAACAAAGGAAACGTTACGCCATGTGTTGTAAGTCTGAGGAAGATGAATAAATGTTGCCTCATTCGCTTCTTTGTGTGGTGGTGGTGGGGGAGGGATAAAAAAATAATATACAGGAAAGTTAAGAGACCTCAAGGCATTAAAAGCTACATAGGAAAGTTAAATGAGATTTCATGGCATTAAATTGGCATATGACAGTTAGACGAGATTTCAAGGCATTAAAAGTGGCATATGACAGTTAAACGAGATTTCAAGGCATTAAAAGTTGCATATGACAGTTAAATGAGACTTCAAGGCATTAAAAGTGACATATGACAGTTAAACGAGATTTCAAGGCATTAAAAGTGGCATATGAAATTTAAATGTGACTTCAAGGCATTAAAAGTGACATGTTACAGTTAAACGAACGCGACTTCAAGGCATTAAAAGTGACATATGAAAGTTAAATGAAACTTCAGTACACAGTGCAACAGCTTCTGAAAAAATTACCAACAATTAGCACAGATTCAGCAGTTGATGTAATTACATCTAACTAAAAAAAAAAAAAAAGGTCAGAGAATAAAACTGCCTTATAAAATTAACAACATCAAATGCAATAAACATTTGTTATCAGAAGATAAGAGAAAGGCTTTTATGGCCAACAAAAAGCAAAATTAAAAATGCAAAATTCTGATGCTAGTAAAAGTGGTTTTTTTTTCAATTGTATTTTTTTTTTAGAATGGTGAAATTAGGGAACATTGAAAATAAGTGATTCAGATGAAGGATATAGATAAACAAAAATAATGTCCACATAGAAAACTGGCTGTCAACCAAAAAAAAAAAAAAAAAATGTTGAAGAAATTGAAAATGTCACAAGCTTTGAATATCTGGGCTCTATAATAAATAGCATGGAGACTATTTGACAGGAATCTAAAGGAGGATGCCATAGCAATGCAAAGATTAAACAGCATTAAAACTCTATGGTTAAGCACCAGCAAGGAAATTACAATTACAATTTTGAGAGCATGCATCTTTTTTGTAGCAATGTATGGATGTGAGTCAGAGACTATCTCCTAGTCCTCAACTCTTTGAGTCCCAGGAGGTTTAGCATCACAGGCCCAGGGGGTAGTAAAGAGAGTCATGAAATCGGCGCATCATGCGTTCATTGGGCTTCTAGGTAGGAACCTATGAACGTATGATGCGTTCGTTGGGACTCAAAGAGTTAAGAAAGAAAATAGGGTCATTTGAGCTGAACTGCTGTAGGAAAACACTCAGAATAAGATGAACAAAGAAGACAAGAAATACTCACAATTTAAAAGATGTGAACATCAAGAAAGATTGGCTAATAAACAGCATCTTGCCCCAGAAGCTGAAATAGTTTGGTAAAAAAATCTGAACAAATAATAGCAGAAGGTATGGTACCAGGAAGGAGGGGCAGGGGTCGACCAATACGAAGATGGGCAAAGGATATAAGTGCCTTCTTGCATATGAAAGTACACCAGGTGAGACAGCTAGTGAGAGACTGAGTTTCTGTCAGGCAGACCATGAGGTTCTGCAAGGGACCTGCTACATGTTGATGACGAGATGAACGAACGCCCTGTCTGGGTTCCAGGGTCCCATTTGGGGGAAAGGGGGGGAGGGGGGCGAAAGAACAGAACCACTGCCCCCCCCCCCCCCCCCAACAAATCAGGGTTTTTTCCTTTTAAGTTAGAGTGCATATGTCTGAGACCTGAGGAACCACAGTCTGCATACAAATAAGCCAAATCTGTGAAAAAGATTTGCACACAAAAGTTCAAGATAAAAGTCTAAAAGTGGATCAACAACTAGAACTTTCCACGTGCATTTACAGCCGGAGAACAAAAAGGGAGAAGGAAGTCAAGGAAGAGAGAAAACAAAGACAGCTGATCAAATAAATGTGAATGAAGAAGAACTGATTGGTCATCTCAAGAAAAGGAGTAAATCCAAACGAACTCTGACAGCTGGTAGGAAGAACAGGAAAACAGCCAGAGGATTGTTATACTTAAAAGGAAGATACTATCCAATCAACACGATGAGACAAATGAATGTCACAAAGACTGATCAAACTGTCATAACTGCCTGTAAACACCACTTTTCAGGGCGGTTTATGAGGAGGAGGGGTGGTTATGAAAGGGGTAGGTAATCTTGAGTCCAAGGACCTAGAACCGCATGGCTAGTGCATGTGCCAGGGACTGTGTCGGTTAGGATTTTATTTTTGTCCTGACAGAAAAAAAAAAACCCATCACCTCATAGAAGACTTAAACCTGGGTCTCCCGAATGAGAGCCCGATGTGTTTAACTGTTCCGCTAGCTCCTCCTCTTTCAGGACTAATAAACGGTACAAAAGTGTAAGGATTATGAAAAATATCTACAGTACTCAGTAAGGCACCTGATGATGGTGATAAAGTGACACGGAAACAAAGTCATAAGCCCCACAGTAAAGCAACACAGCATAGCATCAGCAGTTGATGTCATTACACCTTACACTTAAAAAACAAAAATGTCAGTGAATAAAACTGCCTTGTTATAAAATAAATAGCAGCAAATACAATAAACCTTTGGTATCAGAAGACAAGAAAAAGGCTTATTATGACCAACTCATTTTTCTTCTTCTTTTGTTTGCTGGAAATAAATACTTTATGTCTACAATTTTTTTCACTTGCAAAAGTGTTACAGTTGTCTTTTTAGTTAGTTTAGTGGTCCATACAGTTTACCTTCCATTGCTGTTTTTTTTTGCTCCTCCAAAAAAAGTGTCTTACTGTGTCATATTTGGCAGTCTTGTCTTAAATATTTGACAATGCATTTTTTCTTCTTCAAATCTGATCCTTTTCAAGTAGCTACTGACAGCTCTCACTTATAGCTACGATGCTTACAGCGTAATCCTTATTTAATATGACAACTTGTAGTCCTACTGGGTGTTATTTTCAGGGGGTGTATACGGAAGCTCATATATACAATCACAAATACACAAGAAAGTCCCCCTGAAGTCAATCAGCAAAACCTCATTTAGAGTAAGCACTATTAGGTATACAACTTGGGTATACAACAATACTAGTCACATTAATGTGCTTCTCACTGCTTACATTAATGAGCATCACATTGGTCACATTATTGTGCTTCTTACTGCTGACATTAATGATCACTGCGACTATTATTCACAACTCTAAAATTTACACACAAACATGAGCAAATGAGAAGGGCGTAAAATGGTGTACACCAAGAGGCAAGTTAGCCAGGACATGATGGCAAACACAATGAAATGTCCAACACTGTTCTGTCATTAACCGAAGTGCCGGAACTTTCCAACCACATTTTTACAGTTGGGACAGCGATGCTCCACATCTTTGGTTGCATTGATGCAAAAGGGAATCAAGCAACAGCCAAGCCACAACCTGAAGTGGACACAATGAATACTAGTCAACACAATGCAAATCAGGTGATAACAGTTTCAATTTTATGGCAAACAGGTCACCCCAAAGTTACTCTATTGCTGCGCCATCGAAAATCACATGGAATGACCATCAGTGTCTCTTGTGAAAACAATTGACATAAACTGCTGTCTTAGAAAATCCAACAGCATGCACATGCCTCAAATGCAAAAGGTAACAGTCAAAAGTGGCACAGTCTAACACTAGAAATGCACTCCATCGTTGACGGAAGCAGCAGTTACAATAGATCAGTAGTTGCACACACAATTAATAGCATAAGGCAACACTAGTTCTCTGGAAATTAGCCATTCACCATTTTCTAAATTTGCAGTTCACAACACAAACCACACTGGGCACAGTAAAAAGTATTCCAAATGAAATTTGCAGCTCACCGTGTAATGTCCTACACTCAACTTAGTAGCTGGGCGATAAAACTATATTCATTCAGTCTATATATGGAGGAAAATACAACAGCTAACTAATTTAAGAAGCAAAAACTTGCCATGGATAAAAAGAGTGGCTAAAAAGTCTGGGAGAATGGATAAAACATAATTCCTTGTTTATCAAGCATGCATTCTTACTACTCTTCAATACCGTACTGTTACTTGGTCTGCTTATTCGTACCAGAGGAAACGGCTAAATGGTTTTGACGTGCGATGCCTAAGAAGAATATTTGCCATTAGGTGGCAAAACAAGATTACAAACACAGAGTAGTGAAAATAGCAGGTAACACAACATGTTTCTCAATGCTCAGTCTCCTAGGGCTTAGGTGGCTGGGTCACACCTGGAGACAGGAGGATGGTAGAGTGCCTAAGGACATCCTCTATGATGCAATAGAGATGAATAAAAGATGTTGAGCAGCCTCTACTACAATATAAAGATGTGTGGGATATGAATGATACAGGTACTGAGGCAGATTCATGGGAACAAAATGCCATGGACCATGTTGCACGAAGTGGGGACAATCAGGAAATTGAAATAAAAGCAAAAACAGTGCAACAAGTTTGGAAGTTGAGCATCTGAGGAGAAGCAGCACAATAAAAATATGTGATGACAGCAACGGTCCTGACATCCCATGCTCCAACTGCTTACATGAGCGGGTCTTGCTAGCCACACTCACCATTGCCACAGGCTGTGATTCCCTTGCCTTTCTTTAGCAGAATACAATACTATCATCTGGAAAAATAGAGAAGTGCCAACAAACTGCCTCCATAACATGTCATGCGAGTAAACTAACTGGTGTGTTTCTTTCAAAGTCAAACTGAAACTTCCTGAGACGAAAGGAACCAACAAAACTTTTGCACTCCTGGTCTCTGAATGGGGAAATTGCATCAGGAACCTATAGCAGGAAACAAGTCATTTTCAGAGCACCAGCTGGCCTTTTTTTGCTGAAAGTCTAAAGTCTCAACTGTACCTTTAATAAATGGCGTCCGTGGTTTAGCCCTTGCAAACACTGTATGTTTATCAGATATATATATCAGGTTCAATCCCAGCTGCCAGTGATTTGGAAATAGACTGCCTTATGTTGTTTTCAACATCGGTATCAACATCTCACCATTTAGACAGCAATGATAAATTAGTGAATTGCCTAGTAAAGTCATGAACAGTTGGGGTTTCTTCTGCAATGTCCTGTAAAGGATAGGCTACTAAGTTGTTAACTTAATAAATGGGAAAAGTGACATTCTAGTTCCTTGAGTTGATAAAATAAATGCTGATGTTCTGAAATTATTGGTTACAACTTTCAGAGGGAGGACTAACTATCATCATCATCATGTAGCCGGTCCTTATCACAGCGTCGCTCTCATCAGTCTGCCTGAAAGACTTTTGGTCTCTCGCCAGCTCTCTGCCTGGTGCACTGTCCTATCCAAGTTGTCACTTATACTCTGTCCCCATTTTCATGCTGATCGGCACCTGCCCTCTTTTGTCTGTTATCCTGCCTTCTGCTATTTTTTTCCCCTCTTCAATATGCCATCAAACTTGAAATGGCCAAAATATTTCAGTTTCCTAGATAAGATGCTATTTACTAGCCCTGTTCCTTGATGTTCAGATCCTTTTAGATATAAGTTTTTCTTAGCCAAGCAACAGTGAAGAAATTCTTACCCAAACATGCATATTGCTCCAGCAACAGCCCAGGTGAGCAGCCCTGTTTCATAGGAGACCATTGTTGTTACTGTGGCCTGGCAGTGCTGACATACGACCAGAGCTGGGTACTGGGAGTAACGATACACAACACTACTGATTGCCAATGATTGGGGCTGCTGAATGATCACGGCTGGAGAAACACAAGCATTTGAATTTCACTGTCAATCTATTCAGGTTATCAGCGATTTCATGGCAAAAGGGCCACCCTATAGTTACTTTGTTCCATCGCACTCAAAAAACAAAAACATCACACAGAAAACCCATCACTGCTCCTTATGAAAAGAAAACTAAAACAGACTGCAGTCTAGGCAATGCCAACTGCATACAACACAGGCACTAAATGCATAAGAGTCGCCCATTAGGAATGTTTTTTTTCAAAGTGTGAGTGCATCTACCTGGTAAGTGACCAACCAACAGACTGCATACAAATAAGCTAGACCTGAAAAAAATGGCTGTGCACACAAAACACAGGTTCTGGAACAAAACTAAAATCCAGAAGTGGATAAACAACCAAAATGTTCCACCAAAGTTTATAGCTGGTGAACGCAAAAAAGAAGACGAAGAAGAAGAAATGCATAGGGCGTCCAAGTGTCAGCACAAACAGTCTGCGACTAGAACTGCAGTTCATGATTCATGCAAGTAGTAATTACAACAGATCAACAGCTGCACTCACAATACTACATAAGGCACCACCAGTTGTATGGCAAAAAGGTCACTTGCCAGTTTGTAAATTTGAAGAGAAATGAAATGAGAGAGCTATATGTACGTGCATTCCTGTCTGCAACACTTTTTGCCATAAGCAGAAGGACCAAAAAAAAAAGTTGTCTGGCCTGTTGTCTCCCACAGTTAACAGTTCAGCCCCTTGGTGGATTGTTTAAACTGAAGTGGACTGGAACCCGCAAGGCATAAGAAAAAAAAACTGAGAATGTATCTCCTCTGTATTCAATCTTTCTCATACAAATTTGACACTAGCACCATTGTCTAAGGTCCAGATCACAGTTCAGACAAGACAAACTTCTCCTCCGATCAACTATCACACGTCTCTATATGACAGTCGTCAAAGGCTGACAGCAATTCACGGGTTTATTATCAATACAACACAAGCAACAAGAATCAACAATGAACCAGACACTTACACCATTTCAGCAAGGTCCCCTTGCAAACACTCACTCAAGTCTACAGCCACGCTTCAGACGATGGACACTAGCATGTTACGACTGGCACAACCGACAGGCCAACGAACACAACTGTTGTCCTCAACTGTAATTCAACACAGGTTTACTTCTTGCTGTTCAGGACTAACGTTCATTTGGGTTCCATCCAGATCCACGTTCATACCTATCACTCTGGGTCGGGTTTCCCTCCTTTCACTCTGGAGTCTGGTCATAGATTGACCAGTCATTCTTACCCCTTTTGCTTCGTGTTGCCCAAGCAAACTCACCATATCTTGTGCTTCATCCGTTCCCTTATTCTATTCCTTTATTTAGCACCATTACAGACTAAACAAAGAGGTAAATACAGATCAATAAGATGCAGAGAACATATGGTGAGCTGGATACAATGACAAAGGTAAAATGGCATTATTTGGATTACATCTTGTGCAGCATTAGGAGAAAATAGGCAGAAGAAGAAGGAGGAGGGATGAGAAAAAAGTAAGAAAGGAGGAGGGATGAGAAAAAAGTAAGAGAGGAGGAGGGATGAGAAAGAAGTAAGAAAGGAGGGAGGAGGGAAAAAGAAATAAGAGAGGAGGAGGGATGAGAAAGAAGTAAGAGAGGAGGAGGGATGAGAAAGAAGTAAGAGAGGAGGAGGGTGGAGAAAGAAAAATGAAAGCAACATCCTGTCACATGATACTCTCCCAATGTCGTAATGTGCCATGAGTTTACCTATACTAACATAATAAACTTCTTTAGAGACTGGTGCTCTGATTTTCACAGATGGGTCTGTCATTTATGCAGGTGGGTCTGTCATTTATGCAGGTGGGTCTGTCATTTATGCAGGTGGGTCTGTCATTTATGCAGGTGGGTCTGTCATTTATGCAGGTGGGTCTGTCATTTATGCAGGTGGGTCTGTCATTTATGCAGGTGGGTCTGTCATTTATGCAGGTGGGTCTGTCATTTATGCAGGTGGGTGTCATTTATACAGGTGGGTCTGTCATTTACACAGATCAGTCTGTCACTTACAGTGGGTGTCATTAACACAGGCGAATCTGCCATTTACACAGGTGGTCTGCCATTTACACAGGCAGATCCACCATTTACACTGGTGGGTCTGTCATTCCCACAGATACATCTGTCATTTACACAGGTGGGTCTGTTGTATGATAAAATGAAGCTCGTGAGCTTTTATGGTTCAGGCTGGAGGGAGAATTGTGAAGGAAGAGGCTGGTGATTTTGCCTTGACTACAAGTAGTCTGGCCATGGAGGACATGGCAGTGACTAAAGCAGTTACCTGACTGGAGACAACAGACCTTCACTTGGCCGTGTTTTCTCAGTGATTGAGTATGGTGAAGTGGCTGGACGCTCGCCTGCGGATCCGAAGGTTGTGAGCTCAGGTGCTGATGGAGGGAGACATTTAAAAAAAAAAAAAAAGGACCCAGGCTTAAATGTGTAAAATGGAAGGTAAAGGTGGCCAGTGTGATGTTGACCACATCATCCACAGAGTACTGACTGGTCTATAAAATATAGGTCTAGCCCTATATGCCTGAATGCGTGTAAAATAGTCATTTACTTTACAATGAGTATGTTCGTAGATATTTAGAAAGCTGACCCCAAAAATATGATTGGTATCTCTGAAGTGGTCAAAGCGGACTAAAATCAGTTTCATTTTCACGCCTGGGTATACAGGTGTACAGGGAAATAAGATAGATGATAAGCTTCCAGGTCTACTGTGGAGGGTAACGGACCCAAGGCGTTATACTCAATGCTCTACGAGAAGTACAACGTTTGCGAGAACCAAGAGATGACTGAATCTGCAACTATGATCAGCCTGTAAAAACACAATGTTAAAATGGGTGTGGCCAAACAAGAGCACTGCGCAGGAAGCCAAAGAAGAATAACAAACACAGAAATGGTGACTTTCGCTGCTAAACACTGCAGGCTTTACTGAAAACGGGATCGCAGCACTTATGGACTGAACAGTTTGATATGTGATGAGAAAGACCTGTCGACTTATTCTTCACTTCCTCTTTGACCACTTTGGGCGCTGAGGAAGATATTAGGTACTGCACCTTTTTCTTCTGACCGCCTTGACCGTAGATATATCATGTTGTTGTAGAGCTTCTCTGGTGTTATCTTTCCATCTTGTTCCTTGTCTACCTCATGCACCAAGTCTTTCTTCTCTTTTCTTGTACACCTAATATGGTATGCCATCAGAAGGCATTATTTCTGTGTGCGAAAACTATCTGATTTGCTGTTGACTAACTATTTAAAGACTTACTGGTCTGAGCATAAGGAGGCTGTGCTCCAGCCTGTGGAGGATATGTCTGTACCGGCCCTGTATTGTAGCTAACATATGGACTGGCTACTTGGGGTGGCTGATATTCTGGCGGTGGGTCATACGGTTTGGGTGGACCTGCCTCCATAGTTATCTTCTGAAATGAAAATAATAACACAGATCTTTAATTGGCATGAAAATCATGAAAACATTACAAAGTGCATGAGAATAAAAAAATATATGATACCTATATTTTATCATAAGCAAATAAGATAAACTGTCTTTTATTGAAAAGAGAATATGATACCGTGTCTTTCGGCGATGAGAAAATATTTTAAAAAATGCCGTCTGCAAATTATAGCAGTATTCTTCAATGCATCTGCTGCACACTCACTGGCTGGTGGTGGAAAAGTCTGTGGAAAGGGGGGGGGGGGGGAGCCAAAAATTGCTTCCTAATCATCTTACAAGGCAGTATATTTAGTTTCTCTTCTTTCAGGATTGTAGTCTGAGGATTAACACCTTAGGATTAGAATGAAACGGATGCAAGTGATCGTTATCATAACAAGCTAGCATAACAAGTCATCATAGCAAGTCAGCATTTCAAGATCTTAGGTAAAAACTGTGACAATTATTTCCCTGAAACTGAGGATCCTCATAAAGGCAACTGATTGATTAATAAACCTTTCTTGGAAGATACACAATCATGCATGCTTGATTATCATGATAAAGAAAAGCTAAACAGGTTGTCTTCTGATGTAAGTCTGGTGTGCATCCATGCAATGTTATCACTGTCTCAAGTTTTGGATAACACTCAGAAAACAATATATATGTAAGAGTTATAGAGCTCTCAGACTGTTGGTCATTTTTTTTTTTTAACTTTCTGTCTGAATTAAAAGATTTTCTTTGTCTGTCAGTAATACAAAACCAAAGCAGAGAAATCAAATGCATGTTGTTGCAGCACTTCAACTATCAAAATTAATGTTCCAGCCATGTATATCAGACTTTCTAACCTCTTTGGAGCAAGAAATGTCACAGAAGCTGAACACAGTAATTTGTGACATTCTTCTTCGTCTTCAGCACTCCGAGCCCTTGAGGTTCATTGCGGCTCATATCACCCGCCTCCATTCATCTCTCTGGTTGGCCTTCTTCTTCAGCATTCCTAGCCCTTGAGGTTCATTGCTGCAGATATCACCCGCCTCCATTCATCTCTCTGGTTGGCTTTTCTTTCCAGTTGGTGACACCAAGTGTTTGCAGGCCTGTCCGGACATTATCTCTCCATATTCATCTTGGTCTGCCTCGTGGTCTACGACCATTCATCTCCCTTGTATTAAACAGTTTTTACTTCTCTGTCATCTGACATTCTTTCAAAATGCCCCAACCATTTCAGTCTATGAGCTCTCACGATGCCAGTGATCAATGGTGATTTAAACACTGGATTAACAAATCAACTGCCATCTACATCTATGTTTGTTTGTGTCAGGTTAGCTGTCAGATGCTCTGCATACAAATTTTCCCCGTTTTGGTGGACCAAAGGTGTAAACAGGTTGAAAAACAAGATAAAATGTCTTTTGTTGATTAGAAAATATGAAAAAATGTCTTTTGTTGATAAGAAAATATGATAAAATGTCTTTTGTTGATAAAAAAATGTGACAAAATGTCTTCTATTGATAAAAAAATATGATAAAATGTCTTTTTTGATAAAAAAAATATGATAAAATTTCTTTTGTTGATAGCAAAATATGATAAAATTTCTTTTGTTGATTACAAATATGATAAAATGTCTTTTGGTAACAGAAAATTTGATAAAATATCTACTGTTAATAAGAAAATACAATAAAATGTCTTTTGTTAATAAGAAAATATGAAAAAATGTCTTCTGTTGATAAGAAAATAGGATAAAATAATCCTTTGTTGATGAGAAAATATGATAAAATGTCTTTTGTTGATAACAAAATATGATAAAATGTCTTTTGTTTATTTTAAAATAAAAATTGATACACATATTTTGAGAAAATATGATAAAATGTCTTTTGTTGATAACAAAATATGATAAAATGTCTTTTGTTTATTTTAAAATAAAAATTGATACACATATTTTGTTGAAAAGAAAATATAACAAAGATGCTTTTGTTGATAACAGAATATTATAAAATGTCTTTTGCTAATACAAACTTATTAAATATTTTTTCTTGATAGCAGAATATAATAAAATTGAACTGACTTTTGCTGACATCACAATGTGAAAAAAAATATGGGCAATCTTCCGAATACCGATCCCAAATTAATTACTTTTAAACAAATCCCATTCAAGGCCTCAAGAGGTCAAAGAGTTGAAAATATGGAACAGGAAAACTATGAACTATAACTATGCTTCACATTATTATATAATTTCATATGCACCAAATTCTCGAGTCTTTGGTAGTATAATTGTAAGTATTTCACCTGTCACGCAGGTAACCAGTGTTCGATTCCCCACCGGGTGATAATTTTTTATTAGCCCTTAGAAAAGCGGTTGGCACGTTGTATTGTGTTGTGAACAGGACTTGTGGTTTACAACTAGGCTGCAATATCTGCCACAACACATCCGATTTCAGCAGTCCTAATTAGTCGCCTTTTACTACATTCTTTTTAGGTGGCAGTGGATCTATTCTTTTTTTTTTCCTCAAACATGTGGCCCTGGAACCCACAAGACAAGTCACTCCGACACTGGTATTCATCCCCATGACGCTTTAATGGATCAAAATGAATCGGAAACTATTTCTCCCCACGGCGCTTAAATGGATCAGAGACTATCCCTGGCTATCCTCCGAATAACGGCCATATATTATGACGGCCAAAAACACACCATGACAGGCCTCAGTCACATGTAAACTGCGGATTTCCGGTGACTTAAATTGCGACTATATCACCACCGCCGAGAGTATTTCCCGCGCCGCTACACGAAGTGGGTCTAAACTAGATAGATGGCTGGGACTCACGAGCAGCAGCTTCCGCATCTCCTGCAGCTTTGCTCGTGAGTTCCAGCAATCTAGTTTAGCCCTGCTCCGTGCCAGTATTAAGGTGGTATAGTCACTGGAAGACCGCAATTTACATGTGACTGAGGCCCTGTTTTTGGCTACCATAATATGTGGTCGTTATTCTCTTAGCTCAACTTCTAAACATTGCTACTATCCATCAAGCAATAACTGTAGAAGTGGAAACTGATGATGATGGCCTAAATGAATATTTGTACATATTCCGCTTCAACATTTTAGTTGTGCTTGTTCCTTATTTTTTACTACATAACCTTTTCAGGCTCTCAAAGAGATGTTTTTTGCAGTGAATGATTTGGGACAGGTATTCAGTAGAAGGCCCAAATATGTTGAGATTTACTAGTGAATCATTCATTCTTCTTTTTCAGTGAGTGTTTGTGTGTACACCTGTACATCCATTTCACAGATCTGACTCATTTGCATGCAGACTGTTGGTTCCCTGTTACTACGGCAGACGCACTCCGACTTCGAATAAAGCTCCTAATTAGTCGACTTTTACGACATGCTTGTGGGTAGACAGTACTTTTTGTACGATTTCTACTTTGGGGCACTGGAAATCACACGGAAAGTGAATGAATCATTCTGAGGAGAATGGATAAAAACAAAAATAAACGTTTTTTCACCGTAAACTACTCCTTCATCCATCTACGGTTAAAATGGTGTATTTAAGTTTTAAACCACACAATGTCTTTTTTCTAATTCAGTCAATCTGTGTCCACATACCTGTGTTTGGCGTCAACTTGAAACAGTTTCTTTTACTACAGTTTGACAAACTAAAGAACCGAGACGTCCTCCATTTCCTGTCTGCTATGGAAGTTCACCCGGCAGGAGGTGATGACGTATTACACAAGTACACAAAGCAAGAATGGCAGATTGGCTGGATCTGCACTGCTGGGTGGAGAATCGATACATGACTAGGCAGAAGTGGTGAAGTTATATCTTTTGTAATCCTTACGTCCTTCTTATGACGTAATTTTTTGTTATTTAAAGCCCCACTCTGGCATTTGCCAGGGGCCGCATTACAGGCAGGCCATTAATATGGCCAATTGTCTGAACGCGGTTTCTGGGACCTCTCCACGGTGATCCTTATCCGCATGGTGGCACTTTGTGTCATCGGGTGTTTATCGCTTGTGTGATGTCCTGGTGGGGTAGAAAGTCAGTCAGTCAGTGGTGAAGGCCCTTAGGGAACAAGCAACGGAATCAGTAGAGAAACAATATTATTATGACCTGGAGAGACTAAGGCACCTGGGTGTAATCCTTTAATGACGCCCGTTCTGTGGCGATTAATCAGACGACTCTTGTCTTGGTGAAATATTACTGTCTTGGCTGCTTCAAGTTGCACTTCCATATCCATCCCCCTCGACACGATTTTCTTCGTGATATGCATCTCACTTGACATTAATGACATCACAACTGCCCATGTCTGAGAAAGCACAGTAGCCGCGTTGCCCACAAGATTAATCTGCTCATAGTAACAGCAGTGGTATTAGTAACAGAATAGTAGTAGTAGTTGTTGTGGTTGGCTAGGTAGTTACAACGGCGGCTGTCATGCGATACACACGGGTTCGACTCTCAGGTGAGTTGAGTCAAGGAGTGACATAACAGTACTCATGGCATTTCCATGCAAACTCCGTCCTCATCTTCAGCAGCCAGCGCAGAGTTCAAATACTGATGGTACCGGTCACAATCTAGTTATATCTCCGTCTTGTCTTTCCTCTGAGTGTAGTGAGCCGGCCAGATCCTCTTGTTACACCCTAGTGCGTCATTCTCTCCAGGCCATAATAATCTTGTTTCTCTACTAAATCCGATGCTTGTTTCCAAATGGCCTTGGCCACATCTGCCTTGTCATGTATCAATTCACCACCCAGATCCAAAGTATGCTCACTACATGTGACCTTCCCAGTGAAGTTTGCCACTCTGCTCGAAGCATCCTTGCCTTCACCTTTCTCAGCATGCCTTTAGAGTCTTACAATTACGACATGAATATGCATCTTGTTCTCTAGCCACCGGAGAGCTGCAGTTACCGCCTCCATCTCCATTCTGATGCTAGATGTTGTGGTGTCGTATGCTAGGCTGTCTTGCGCTAAATATTTTCCTTTGGCTTTCGCTAAAACCC